TGATGCAGAGTACATACTGGTATGTCCATCTGAAGTGAGGTGATGCAGAGTATATACTGGCATGTCCATCTGAAGTGACGTGATGCAGAGTACATACTGGTATGTCCATCTGAAGTGAGGGTGATGCAGAGTACATACCATCTGTCCAGGTTAGAGTGACGTAATGCAGATCTGAACATACTGCACATGTCCATTTGAAGTGAGGTGATGCAGAGTACATACTGCACATGTCCATCTGAAGTGAGGTGATGCAGACTACATACTGGCATGTCCATCTGAAGTGAGGTGATGCTGACTACATACTGCACATGTCCATCTGAAGTGACGTGATGCAGAGTACATACTGTTATGTCCATCTGAAGTGGGGTGATGCAGAGTATATACTGGTATGTCCATCTGAAGTGACGTGATGCAGAGTACATACTGGTATGTCCATCTGAAGTGACGTGATGCAGAGTACATACTGGCATGTCCATCTGAAGTGACGTGATGCAGAGTACATACTGGTATGTCCATCTGAAGTGACGTGATGCAGAGTACATACTGGTATGTCCATCTGAAATGACGTGATGCAGAGTACATACTGCATGTCCATCTGAAGTGACGTGATGCAGAGTACATACTGGCATGTGCATCTGAAGTGACATAATGCAGAGTACATACTGGCATGTCCATCTGAAGTGACGTGATGCAGAGTACATACTGGTATGTCCATCTTAAGTGACGTGATGCAGAGTACGTATGTCCAGCTGAAGTGACGTGATGCAGAGTACATACTGGTATGTCCATCTGAAATGACGTGATGCAGAGTACATACTGGTATGTCCATCTGAAGTGACGTGATGCAGAGTACATACTGGCATGTCCATCTGAAGTGAGGTGATGCAGAGTATATACTGGCATGTCCATCTGAAGTGACGTGATGCAGAGTACATACTGGTATGTCCATCTGAAGTGAGGTGATGCAGAGTATATACTGGCATGTCCAGTTACAGTGACGAAATGCAGAGTACATACTGCACATGTCAATCTGAAGTGACGTGATGCAGAGTACATACTGCACATGTCAATCTGAAGTGACGTGATGCAGAGTACATACTGGCATGTCCAGCTGAAGTGACATGATGCAGAGCACATACTAGTATATCCATCTGGAGTGATGTGATGCAGACTACATACTGCACATGTCCATCTGAAGTGAAGTGATGCTGACTACATACTGGTATGTCCATCTGAAGTGACGTGATGCAGAGTACATATTGGTATGTCCATCTGAAGTGACGTGATGCAGAGTACATACTGGCATGTCCATCTGAAGTGACGTGATGCAGAGTACATATCGGTATATCCATCTGAAGTGACGTGATGCAGAGTACATACTGCACATGCCCATCTGAAGTGACGTGATGCAGAGTACATACTGGTATGTCCATCTGAAGTGACGTGATGCAGAGTACATACTGGTATGTCCATCTGAAGTGACGTGATGCAGAGTACATATCGGTATATCCATCTGAAGTGACGTGATGCAGAGTACATACTGCACATGCCCATCTGAAGTGAGGTGATGCAGAGTACATACTGGTATGTCCATCTGAAGTGACATAATGCAGAGTACATACTGCACATGCCCATCTGAAGTGACGTGATGCAGAGTACATACTGTTATATCCATCTGAAGTGGGGTGATGCAGAGTACATACTGGTATGTCCATCTGAAGTGACGTGATGCAGAGTACATACTGGTATGTCCATCTGAAGTGAGGTGATGCAGAGTATATACTGGCATGTCCATCTGAAGTGACGTGATGCAGAGTACATACTGGTATGTCCATCTGAAGTGAGGTGATGCAGAGTATATATTGGCATGTCCAGTTACAGTGACGTAATGCAGAGTACATACTGCACATGTCCATCTGAAGTGACGTGATGCAGAGTACATACTGGCATGTCCATCTGAAGTGACGTGATGCAGAGTACATACTGGTATGTCCATCTGAAGTGACGTGATGCAGAGTACATACTGGCATGTCCATCTGAAGTGACGTGATGCAGAGTACATACTGCACATGTCCATCTGAAGTGAGGTGATGCTGACTACATACTGCACATGTCCATTTGAAGTGAGGTAATGCAGAGTACATACTGGTATGTCCATCTGAAGTGACATGATGCAGAGTACATACTGGCATGTCCATCTGAAGTGACCTGATGCAGAGTACATACTGGTATGTCCATCTGAAGTGACGTGATGCAGAGTACATACTGCACATGTCCATCTGAAGTGACGTGATGCAGAGTACATACTGGTATGTCCATCTGAAGTGACGTGATGCAGAGTACATACTGGTATGTCCATCTGAAGTGACGTGATGCAGAGTACATACCGGTATATCCATCTGAAGTGACGTGATGCAGAGTACATACTGCACATGCCCATCTGAAGTGACGTGATGCAGAGTACATACTGTTATATCCATCTGAAGTGGGGTGATGCAGAGTATATACTGGCATGTCCATCTGAAGTGACGTGATGCAGAGTACATACTGGTATGTCCATCTGAAGTGAGGTGATGCAGAGTATATACTGGCATGTCCATCTGAAGTGACGTGATGCAGAGTACATACTGGTATGTCCATCTGAAGTGAGGTGATGCAGAGCACATACTGGCATGTCCAGTTACAGTGACGTAATGCAGAGTACATACTGCACATGTCCATCTGAAGTGAGGTGATGCAGAGTACATACTGCACATGTCCATCTGAAGTGAGGTGATGCTGACTACATACTGGACATGTCCATCTGAAGTGAGGTGATGCTGACTACATACTGCACATGCCCATCTGAAGTGACGTGATGCAGAGTACATACTGTTATGTCCATCTGAAGTGGCGTGATGCAGAGTACATACTGGTATGTCCATCTGAAGTGGCGTGATGCAGAGTACATACTGGTATGTCCATCTGAAGTGAGGTGATGCAGAGTATATACTGGCATGTCCATCTGAAGTGACGTGATGCAGAGTACATACTGGTATGTCCATCTCAAGTGACGTGATGCAGAGTACATACTGCACATGTCCATCTGAAGTGAGGTGATGCAGAGTACATACTGGCATGTCCATCTGAAGTGACATAATGCAGAGTACATACTGCACATGTCCATCTGAAGTGACGTGATGCAGAGTACATACTGGTATGTCCATCTGAAGTGACGTGATGCAGAGTACATACTGGCACATGTCCAGCTGAAGTGAGGTGATGCAGAGTACATACTGGTATGTCCATCTCAAGTGACGTGATGCAGAGTACGTATGTCCAGCTGAAGTGACGTGATGCAGAGTACATACTGGTATGTCCATCTGAAATGACGTGATGCAGAGTACATACTGGTATGTCCATCTGAAGTGACGTGATGCAGAGTACATACTGGCATGTCCATCTGAAGTGACGTGATGCAGAGTACATACTAGTATGCCCAGCTGAAGTGTCGTGATGCAGAGTACATACTGGCACATGTCCAGCTGAAGTGAGATGATGCAGAGTACATACTGGTATGTCCATCTGAAGTGACGTGATGCAGAGTACGTATGTCCATCTGAAGTGACGTGATGCAGAGTACGTATGTCCATCTGAAGTGACGTGATGCAGAGTACATATTAGTGAGATCAGCTCAGTAGCATCTTCCAGAAACAGGGATAACATCAGTATTTTCTTTGTTGCTCGAGATAAGTGGTTCACGTTGTTCCGCACAAATTGTACATCGGATGATCAGAATACACTGCCCCTAGACACACACGTGCTGGTAACATCCAGCAAGACCTTCATCAGTGGGAAACAATAGAAGATGCAAATTTCTGGAAATCTTTGTTTCTACAAGATCAACGTCTTTCCTTCGATTTTCACTGAAATGTTTAACCCAAATAATATATTCTGGCGATTGTTCGATTATCGGAATAAATCACATAGAGTGTATGTGTAACTATACTAGACCTGTATTTTTGATGAATTGATAAACACATTTCATGTAATAGCTTCATACATGAAAAGTAATGCTAATGTTTAAGGAAGAGTCGAAGGAACTGCTTAAAACAACGTTAAATAAAAATACATATCACTCTCTTGCTGGCCTCAGTGGCTGTCGTGGTGAGAATGAGCGAGGATCGAATCTCTCTGAGCGTGGTGAAAATCTCTTGCGTTTGTACAGTGTTAGACTAACAACTAGTATTTGAAACGAACATATTTTACAGACAAAAAGTTCATAGTTAACAAAACAAAATATAATGAAAAGGAGCCCTGAGACATTCTTCATTTTCCTGAAGCTGTGGAAATCTAGACTTGCCACATTTTCTAGACTTGCGTGGGCTTTCTTGGATATATTTACTTCGGGGTCCGTATGACAAACGAGTACAGTGTATGCTGACAAAATACCTACTCTGAAAATTGACATGCATGTTAAGTTGTTCAAAACTTCTCTTGGTTGATAATCAGTGCCATTTACCAACTCTCCGTATAGTTTTGAAGGACAAACATCTTTAGAAATGATTAACCACCCCTACAATCAAACTGGCCACAGCGCAAGGAATGCGGGGCCGAACTAAGGCTCTCTGTTCACGGAAGTGAACAAATGTGAGTGAGTAGTGAAGGTTTATGGAATCGCCTACCTGACACTGCAGTACGCGGCGCAGCCTGATTAGATCAGCTGTTTCCCTACAGGCCTCCAGCAATTCTCCAGTAACAGGACTTCCTACAAACGCTGTCATAATACAGCCAAATTAACCACCAGTACTCGTCCGTCACGACTTCCAGTGCGTGAGAGAATCTAGTCCGTCTTTACTGCCATCCGCACAGTTGGAAGCCTCAAGTAAATTGACCGCTGTCCTGGACAGCTGAGAAGACACACTGACCCGAATCACTTAGACTGACCGCTGCTACACGCCACAGCTGTCCTGATATTTAGGAAACTGTTAACCGTGATACAGTTACGTGGTAGAACTTACCTATGGCTGAAGTACTCGTGTTATCTGGTGTTGATAGCTTCAGTAGGTGATAGATACAGACTGCCAGTCTGCTGCCACAGAATGCTGGCGTCGACTCACAGGATCGTCTGCTACTCTAGCGCGCAGGAACCGCTCGCCACGACCAACCGCGCAGCGGTATATCTACACACATACTACTGATTTAAATGCCGCTTGTTCTAGCTTTGCCCTCCTTCTGACGTCATGGGGCCGTACCAATCCTCGGGAGGAAACTGATGGGTTTGTAGCATTGACAATACTCCTCCTCATTGATCGTTGTCAGATTCCTCTCCCTAGCGTCCACCTCAGTCACGCAAAGACCAGGGCACAGCTGCCTAACCCGACCGCACGTCGCTTCACCGCCAACAGGGCAACGTGTTCTAAATACTCTATCCACACGCCGCACTGAGGACTGTCCTACATTCACAACGTTCACTATATTTCATCAAATGTATCCACGCTCGGGATCAACGCCGTATATACTCATATCAGTGAAAATCCAGCAATTTAATAGTCATGGCTTTAATTAGCTCTTCCGCTGTATAGGTCGCTCCTGTCTGTCACAGTCCATTACACAGATAGCTCATTCTTTGACTAGATTATAGATTTTCAGGGAATTGCAATATGTACGTGATGCATACATTGCTCCTATTATACTTTGATTTTAGTTATATCGTACTCCCCCCTTGTGCAGAGTAAAATATATTGATCGATAAAGGGGCATTGTATGATGATGTTGAAATGTTCCTTTTATATGTCCATGAAACCCCGCGTTTGCCCTAGGCTAGCATATAAGGTCAGTCGGAAGATAAAACTCCGAGATGAACTTTCAAACGGCAGTTTACGGTTCATTGGTGCAGGTTGAAAGAGTCAAAAGGGTACAACTGCTGGTAATCAAGTGAAAACCTCCTCTGTCGAGTACACACATTCAGGACGTCGACGGTGATTCTTCATCTTCCAGGCCTACCCGAGAAAACTTTGCCACTGCGCAGAAAAACGCAGAAAAGCCCACATTAATCGTGGAAATAGCAACATAAACATAATACATCGCGGATCGCTACTGAAACAGTAAAAACGGCAACGAAAAACTATGAAACTGCAACATTTTTATATCAGCGAACTTTGACCTCTGCTGCTCATGCGCATTACGATCCGCGCTTTCCAATTTCCGAGTAATCGTGAATCGCCTCGCGTTGAAAAAGTATCAAATATGTCGAAATAACTGCTGTCAATCATTTCATAAGAATGGAAAGTAAACTAAACAAGTGTACACACAAGTATCATGAAGATACATGCCAAATTATACAACAGAAAAGCTGGAAAATGTCAACATGCGGTCAAGACTTCCTCTTCCATGTGCGCATGCGCAAAATCGAAGTTGCAGGCTCTTAAGCTTTGTTTTTTTTATGCAGTTTTAGCGATTTTAAGTTGCCGTTTTTACTGTTTCAGTAGCGAGGTATTATGTTTATGTTGCTATTTCCACGATTAATGTGGGCTTTTCTGCGTTTTTCTGCACAGTGGCAAAGTTTTCTTTGGTAGGCCTGATCTTCGATGTAATCATTGGTGGTGGCGAGACCGTGGCCAGATGTTTCGGCCCATTCTCTCTGTTAGACCATGTCAGCCAAGATACGTAAAATGAGGTATCACATAACAAGGAACACGGAAATAAATAAAAACAGAATGATCAATATCGGCCAATGCATACATTAACAAGCTGAGCGAATCTTCAATCACCGACACACCAACAAAACACAGGTGAGCTTTAGATTCGGATCGAGGAAAAAACACAGGAAAGCGGAGGTTCCATCACCTATACACAAAGCACAGGTGAGCAGAGGTTCCATCACCTATACACAAAACACGGTGAGCAGAGGTTCCATCACCTATACACAAAACACAGGTTAGCAGAGGTTCTACCACCTATACACAAAACATAGGTGAGCAGAGGTTCCATCACCTATACACGTAACATAGGAGAGCGGAAGGTTCCATCTCCTACACACAAAACACAGGTGAGCAGAGCTTCCATCACCTACACACAAAACACGGTGAGCAGAGGTTCCATCACCTATACACAAAACACAGGTGAGCAGAGGTTCTACCACCTATACACAAAACATAGGTGAGCAGAGGTTCCATCACCTATACACGTAACATAGGAGAGCGGAAGGTTCCATCTCCTACACACAAAACACCGGTGAGCAGAGCTTCCATCACCTACACACAAAACATAGGTGAGAACAGGTTCCATCACCTATACACAAAACACGGTGAGCAGAGGTTCCATCACCTATACACAAAACATAGGTGAGCAGAGGTTCTACCACCTACACACAAAACATAGGTGAGCAGTGTTTCAATCGCCTATACACAAAGCATATGTGAGCAGAGGTTCAATTGCCTATACACAAAACACAGGTGAGCTTTAGATTCGGATCGAGGAAAAAACACAGGAGAGCGGAGGTTCCATCACCTATACACAAAACACAGGTGAGCAGAGCCTCCATCACCTATACACAAAACACGGTGAGCAGAGGTTCCATCACCTATACACAAAACACAGGTGAGCAGAGGTTCTACCACCTATACACAAAACATAGGTGAACAGAGCTTCCATCACCTATACACGTAACATAGGAGAGCGGAAGGTTCCATCTCCTACACACAAAACACAGGTGAGCAGAGCTTCCATCACCTATACACAAAACATAGGTGAGCAGAGCTTCCATCACCTACACACAAAACATAGGTGAGCAGAGGTTCCATCACCTATACACAAAACATAGGTGAGCAGAGGTTCCATCACCTATATACAAAACATAGGTGAGCAGAGCTTCCATCACCTACACACAAAACATAGGTGAGCAGAGCTTCCATCACCTACACACAAAACATAGGTGAGCAGAGGTTCCATCACCTATACACAAAACATAGGTGAGCAGAGCTTCCATCAACTACAGACAAAACATAGGTGAGCAGAGCTTCCATCACCTACACACAAAACATAGGTGAGCAGAGCTTCCATCACCTACACACAAAACATAGGTGAGCAGAGCTTCCATCACCTACACACAAAACATAGGTGAGCAGAGCTTCCATCACCTACATACAAAACATAGGTGAGCAGAGCTTCCATCACCACAAAACACACAAAACATAGGTGAGCAGAGCTTCCATCACCTACACACAAAACATAGGTGAGCAGAGCTTCCATCACCTACACACAAAACATAGGTGAGCAGAGCTTCCATCACCTACACACAAAACATAGGTGAGCAGAGCTTCCATCACCTACACACAAAACAGGTGAGCAGAGCTTCTATCACCTACACACAAAACATAGGTGAGCAGAGCTTCCATCACCTACACACAAAACATAGGTGAGCAGAGCTTCCATCACCTACACACATGTGACATTCACAGAAAATGTGTATTCATGTTTTCCCATTTTGTTGTTTCAGAATGTGTCAGTAGCATCTCAGTGTTTGCATCCTTTCAGGAATGAAGAATGCAGTTTCGTGAAACACATATACATGTTAAACTGTTTAATTCAAATACGCAAGTGATTGTAGCAGTACTAACAGCAGCGGCAGCAGCAGCAGCAGCAGCAGTAGTAGTAGTAGTAGTAGAAGAAGGAGTTGTAACAGTGTGTGCCAATATTATATGTGAATTAATTTACTCTGAATGATGTTACAATACCCAAGCTTCTATGAAAAAAACCATGTAGGAGATTTTCATGCTGGATTATGCACGCTCAACAATTCGTGTGAGACTTTCTGGGAGTATATATGAAAATCTGGAATGTTGATGTCTTTCTGGGAAACTGGCGCCATCTGCAATTGTAGCAGATCTGAGCAGTCAAAGACCGAGAGCAGGCTGCAGCCGTGTTAAGTGTTCTGGAACAGGTGCCAAATAATACAGGATAATTCAGTTTGTCAACTGCAATATCAAGGGGAGCTGAGGACACCGACAGTAGAGACAGGCAGGGAAGATCGACCTGTACTGGCACAGAAACAATGTTGTAGAGTTACGTTTGCTAGTAGAAGAAAAAGGGAAGTTGATAGAAACATAGCTACTTAACTTGGTTATAACATTTATGAATAGGGCGTGTGTATAGTAAAACAAGAATCAGTTTGTAGAAGGTACAAATCTTTACTTTTTTCAGAAAGGATTTGCGAAAGATAATGGTTTGTTTCTTATGGGATCAAAGGAGAGTGGGGAAAAGGGAAATAAGCAATCACGAATCAATCATAAAATACCTGGTCTGAGTTGGAGTAATTGGTGTTTGACATCATAAGCATGTCGCAAAACATAGGTAAACAGAACATGACACAATGCAAATTGTTATATAGCCACATATTTGTCATGTCTGTCGTTTTATACCCGGCAATACATTTGTAAACTACTTGTCAATTAGTTGCTCAAAGAAAGATGTTTGGAGGCTTATGTTGTAGTGCATTTATGTCATGTATTTCATGTTTTGTGGGGGTTGTTAATGTCTTTGGCAAAATACGTTGACATAGTTAGTGATGGAGATACCAATGGATGTTTTGAAAAGGCCCCAAGAAGTTTTAAAAGGAATCTTATGGGCCTGGAATAAGATTTCATTTGGTTTGGAGGAATAACTGTGAATGGGCTTTGTTGTCTTGAGTTGTGAAATGTACTTATGGGCAAAGTGTGTGGGGAGTACATTGCAGATTAGCTTCTTTGATTAGGAAAGTCTTCAGAGAAGAAGGGAAACTGCCAGGGTTAGTGGAAGATCTGAGAGGTCTTAAGATCGGATAGAGAGAAGTAGTGAGTTCCACAGTGTGGAAAAAGCGACTGCTAAAGATTTTTCAGCCAATCTTGTTTGGGTACCTGGTACATTACTTAAAAACAATCAAAGATATGTTAGAAGGTATTAGTTTTCAAGAATGCTTAACAACACAGTTTTATGTAAATCACGAAATAACGATCTCAAATGCATTCATATTTAGGTGAAATGCATATTTTTCAGAAGAGTTAAATTATCCTATTTTCGTCCATGCCGAAATAAACCAATAACAGTGGTTTAGATGTCCAAAAGAAAGTTTGAAATAAGATTCTCCTTTGGGCAAAAAGATAAACCATTTAAAGTCACCATTTTTTAACTATTAATAGAAGAAAAAACTGCTGTAAAGTGTGTAAAATTGTAATATAATCATTCCTATGATTTCAGTCTTTTAAAACATTTTCTGCTGATTTGCATTAGTGAAAACAGGTAAAACGTGTCTTTGATATTGTGAAAAAATGTTTAGGAACATCTAAAATTATCGTTGTTAACATTTTTGTATGCAAAGTAACATTATTTTCCATTTTCTGTT